ACTTGTACGTGGTTTGCAGTCTTAGTGTTTAATTCAGAACTCTGAATCTTTCTCTTGAGATAGTGAATTGGGATTTGGAATTATCATTTGGTGCTCATTATCGTCAACCGTGTAATCAATTTAGCTTTTAATTCTTTAATAAACAACTCTCGCATTACGACTTAAGTTTTGTGAGGAGCTGTTTAAACAATCCAAAATTGGCTGTATGAAGGGAAAATATTGAGTATTGTAGCTTGCTACCGCGACGCTTCTCATGTTTGTCGTAACTTTGTAAGTTGTAGTTCGATGGTAATACTTGGCTTTCTGGTGGTATAGTGATAGCAGCTGGAGCATCCTTGTTGGGCATTGTTGTTCACGTATGTTGCACACGCGTATTTGCCTTTTTTATTCATTTTTTAGTAAAGTATGATAATGAGGTTTTTAGTAGATATTAGTCTTTTAATGGAATGATTACCTACTTATAGCCTAGATAAAGCCATTACTTTTGCAGCTATAACGTTTTCGACATCGTATTTGTTTTGAAGAAAAAAAAGCATCCTTATTCTACGGAGGTTAGTTGAAAAGATTTTTGATGTGACAAGTTGTTTTACACATTGTCATTTTTTGCTTCAAATTTTGGACATAATGATTCATTAAAATGTTTCATATTCTTTCAATGTTTGTACCGGCGTTAGTTCTGTGAGTCATCTTTTTGCGATTGTTTTTACAACGCTTTTATTTTGAGTGTAGGGAGTTGTTTTTGGTCATGAGAAATTGCTACTTCAAAATAGACGGCTTTTTGAGTGAACATGATTGCTATTGCCAAAACGAGCATTAAAAAGTTACTTGGCCTATGCGTTGCCAGATGTGCATGTTTCACTCAGTCGCATATGGCTGGACGCAAAATCGATTCCTTGGTCTCTTTTCTATAAAGCTGCCATCAAAATCCTATCGGCTTTTCGCCTCATGTTTGTGGAAACGGTGAAAAAATGTTTTTTTCGTAATAGGTCGTTTTTATTCGTAGGCAAAAATGGTGTTTTATTGTTTTATTTTCTTCATTTATATGCCTTTTCTTTTATTTTTATTTATTTATTTATTTATTTTTTTTTTTGATTTACGCTTTTGCTTCTTTAATCATTGTTGCTATTTGTTGTTGAATCCAGATTGTAATTGAAGTTTACGCGCGATGATTTTATTTTTACCTTCTTTCATACTTTATTTTGGTTATTCAGAAATCAGACTTTTGATGTATCGTCCGTTATTCTGATTCATTTTTATTTTACTGCAATTCTTTATCATGTTCGATAATAAATTTAGGGTTTAAAAAATGGCAGATAGTGAAGCGAAAGCTCGTAAAAAGCTTGAGGAGGCGGAAAAAAAGTCAAAAGGATCAAGTGGTTTTTTCGCAGGACTATTCGGCAGCAGCAAAGCCGATGAAGCTGTTGAGCTTTACGTCCAAGTGAGTTTTCTTTTCAAGTTACTTAGTTTCAATTAATTTATTTTTTTCATTGCAATCTATTTAAATAAATTATTTTTATTGAAAGATTTCAAGTGATTGGAAACTGTTCACTGTTTAAGTCTTCTAGCAGTTCTCTATTTTTTTCTTTATCGCTGCAGAGAAATCTTAATTAAATGATTATAATCTACTAATTATATAGAATTTTTATTGCATTTTGTCCTTTTGAGGTCACTTGCTTTGTTTTGCACTCACCCTTTTTGAATTGATACATTTATACTCGCAACATTGCACCCTTTTCGTTTTTTTTCTCTCACTAGTGTCTGTCTCTGTTTTTTAACATGTATAAATCCATTCGTATAAATGAAATTTCTCGTTTATTTTAAGTGGTGTTTAGCGCTTTAGTGTTGTTTGTTCTGATCTGTCGCTAATCTGTTGTGCAAAAGATGCTACTTTTTACTTTTAATGTTAGATTACACTTACCGTTGCAAATGTTGTGGCTAACTAGAAGGCTGGCTTATCTGGAAAAGTTTCTTATTTTGTGAATTCTTTTTTTATTGAAGTAGTGACCCAGTGTGGTAGGGATTAATTTTTTTTACGTGGTATTTGAAAAAACTTTTATTAAAGGACTATGATTTCAATGTGATGTTTTGTTGATTTGTACAACTTTCCATTTATTGTGTAAATGCTAGCGTTCAGGATTTGCCTTGTCCAGAGGTTATTCTCCTTTGTACAGAAAATGGTTGCGGAGAAACGTTCGACGATATCGTTTCTTACGAAGATCACGTTTTATACTCACACACGTTCCAATGCATAATTTGCGGGCGACGGTTTAAAGACAGACACTGTTTAGAAATCCATTCTGACGAGCAACATTGTTCGATTTTTAAAGTCCGATTAGAAAAAGACCCAAGTGGTGCTTTTTTTCGATGTTACTCTGAGGATTGTTCTAGATGCTTTTGTAATCCCTATGAGAGAGATATGCACTGTTTAAATGAGCATGGGATTTCGGATGGTAATTCTGTATCTGTTAGAAGAAAAGTACCACAGCGAGTTTCAATCGCGACGTCGGAAATTCATCAGTCATTACAAAAAAAGACTTGTTCAAAAAAGGCACCGAGAGGTATTATGTTTGGGGATGATGACAGTTGAATCTGTATTAGATTTAGCGTAATATTTCACTGAGGCTTTACTAATTCCCAATCACTGTCAAAATTTTTTGCCGAATGATTTTTCTTGCTGTACTTGTAAAATTGTTTTAAGGGACAGTCAGTTTTTCATGACATTTTTTATCTATTTTCTTCATCGTATGAGAATTGTGGATAAGTGTTGCTGTTGCAAATTTCAATTTTTCTTGCTTGGTTGGATATTTTAATGTTTGTAGAAATCGTGAAAATGCAAGATTTGCCTTCGTTTACGTGTTCTTTGCTTAGCCTTATATCTTTAAATTTATTTCGTGCAATTTTCTTGTCTGCAATTGATCTCGACTAACTGTGGCAACTGTGCTCTTTGAGTAGTAGGTTTTTCAAATCATGGACTTTACTAGCTACTGGCTTAAGTTTTTGTTGCTAATACAGGTGTGGCTGGAAATGCGGTCTTTTGCTTGGCTTTTGGAGCTGGTTGCTTTTATCTTAAATGAGATGTAATAATTATTTATGGCAGCACTTTGTTATATTTATACATTTTTTTTTTTTTGTCTAGGGTGATCTAAATTGTAAATTCTAATGTTGCTTAACTTGTTCCCCTAAGGTTATATTGATGCCTTTGAGTTGTTAAGGAATTGTTGATTTGTGTAGCGCCATTGTTCGCGAATCTGAATAAAATATCTTTTGAAGTCACTATGAAGTTGTTATTCATTTGTATTTTGCCATCTAAGAAGTATTTACTCTTTGCCGTCTCTGTTTTTCTTCAGCTCATAAAGGGGTTTTTTGCCCGCAAATCACGACCTATTGTTTCGTTAAACGGCCTGGTGGATGTACTAAATTTTAGGCAGGAAATCTTTTCAAAGTGGCTAAACTTTGGAAAGATGCTGGAGACGCATTCGTGAAGGCCGCGGAACTAAATGCTGCAAAAGGTGATGCCAAACATGATACAGCTACTAATTACGCTGAGGCAGCAAACTGTTACAGGAAGGTTAATCCACAGGTATGGGAGCCCTTCCTTTGTGAACTAGTGTTTGCTTACATTGATCAGTACCGATTATTTTTTAGACACCTAACATTGTTTTAGGTGGCAGTTGATTGCCTGATGAAGACAGCAGATATTTACACAGATATGGGCAGGTTTAACATGGCTGCTAAAAATCACTGCGCTATTGCCGAACTATTTGAAAATGAGTGTCCAGATGTTGCTCAATGCATGGCACATTATCAGGTATTTTTAGCAGTTGTAATAATCGGTTGTGGTAGTGCTTTGATAAATATTAGTTCGAAGTTTCTGCTGATGTTGCCGATGTTGCACTGCCGTAATGTTCTCAGATATCTAGGGGCTTTCGTTTGAATTATATTTTGCAGAATTTCAAAATAATTATTTGCAGAAGGCAGCAGACTATTACAAAGGGGAAGAGAGTAAAAGCTCCGCCACAAAGTGTTTGATTAAAGTCGCTCAGGTAACTGACCGTTTATTATTCTGCTTGTTGTGGCTTTTGCGGGTTTTGGCATAACTGATGTCATTTTAGTACGCTGCTCAGCTTGAACAGTACAGGAAAGCAATACAAGTTTTTGAAGAAATTGCAATGTGGGAAGCGGATCATCAGACTTTGAAGTATGCTGCCAAAAACCATTTTTTCCAAGCTCTTCTTTGTCACCTTTGCGTTGATTTGGTGAGTATTTTTATAGAAGTTTATTGTTGCTACGTTTCCGTAAATTGTGGTTTTCAAAGATTTCTGTTGTTTTTAGTTGGATGCACAGCATGCATTGAAGAGGTATAAGGAAATATCACCTTCTTTTGCTGATACTCGCGAGTGCAAACTCATCAGGTCAGTATTTTTCTTTTAGTGTCATATCTGTATCGTTTATTATTTTTCAGCAAAAGTCAGGTTACTAGTCTTGGAAGAATAAATTCCCATATCTGATATCAACTCATTTTTTCAGTGAACTAATTGAATGTATGGAGGAGGAGAAGCAGGACAGTTTTACGGATGCTGTGAAAAATTACGACAAAATTTCTCACCTAGATCAGTGGCATACTGCTCTTTTGGTCAAGATCAAAAGATCTATTGCTGGCGAAGGAGACGACCTCAAGTAGTATTTATTTTCAAATGGTTTTTGGTCTAGTCACATCAGGTTGCGTAAATATTTATCTTGAAATTGCTTCCATGTTGTGTATTAGATGGTGTCGAATTCACTTTTTGTATCGTAAAAAGTTGTTTTAATGGTGTTTATGGCTGCGTTTGATTGTTGAACGTTTGAATATGATATTTACTGGTAGTGATGTACAGGCACGCTAACAAGTTTGGAGCGAGGTATTTGTCGCTTAAGATCTGTTGTCTGTAACTGAGTCATTTTCATTTGAACCGTTCTTTGACGGCAATTAGATTTTGTCTGTGTTTGATTTCATCCCTTCCATGGTAATGAAGAAATAGTTTTAACCTGAAATTTACTCTTTGGAAACAAGTCATTGTTTTTGGCTCAGAACAAGCATTATTATTGTTGGTTCCAAGTTTTGGTATTGGAATTGTACGTTTTGCAACAGTGATCTTTAGTATGTAAATTTTTGTGGATAATTTTTGTGCTTAAAAGTGTCATTTCTTCTAGTGCTTTGACGTTCGAGCATTTGGATAGCATTTTTTACATTAATACCGTTTTTCCTTTGAAGTCTAACGCTGAAGAAGTTTACCAAAGTTTTTTTCACTTAAACATACGCTTGTCGAAATTTAATGTACAGAAGCTCATTGGAAGACAGCTTATAAATAGTTATTTGTGATGGTTTAGATAAATGCTATAAATGAAATTACTTGTGCTTTTGTTTGTTGAGGGAAACAGTTGTTTATTATTCATGCTCACTTCATCTCAAAGCTTAAGCTAACAAATGTGATTTGGCTAACAGTTGGGCTTCTTATTGCGGACGGACAGTTCAACTATCCGTTTAGGAGAGAAGAGAAGGAGGTGACGGTCAGGATGGAAGATGGTGCGTGGTGGAAAATGAAATATGATTTGTAAGAGCCTTTGTTCTTAAAGTTTCGTATTTAGTTTTATTAGAAGATGGTGCTGGTCGGATAGAAAAGTAGGCTGTAGAACAATCAGGTTAGCCTTTAAGGAGCGGATTCTGTTTGTAAGAGGGGAGAAGAGTTGGCTTTGCTTGTGCTTTTAATTTCACGGTTGGTTAGGCCACTTTGACGGGGTATGTTAA